AGGTGCTCTTAGCCTGCCCACTTTTTATTTTTGGATGTCCGGCAGTCACAACAACACCTATGCTCTAGCTTCCTAAATTGGGTCATTTTAATCGTCTTTGATGGTGACAGAGCCACACACGGCCTAAGCGTATTCAGACATGCCAAACAGATAGCAATGAAGTCTCCGGTTGTAGGATTCCTGCAAGGATGTTGCCAGACTAGCTGAAAGCAGACAAATATTTACTGGTATTCAGCCAAGCCAAAATCCTTACACCCTGAGACTTATGATGCTACCAATTTCTGCATATGTTGCTGCGGCGGCCTCCTAATCGCAAGAGGTGTGCAGCTGGAAACCATTGTAGAAAATGGGAAATTCTTTAACCTGCTGTGCTTGCAATTTAAAATCATGTTTCTGATGCGCGGAATACATCAGTATCAAGCAGCAGAAGTAACTTGTTTTCCTGGTTGCTTCAGAGGAAGCCCAGGCATACTGGGATTAGAAATTGATTTTCATGTGCCTGAGCATACTGGCGCTGGATGACGCGTAGAATTCGCTTGCAGAACCATCAGTCCTAACTGATTAAATTATCACTGGGATAGAGGAAGGAGAAAAAAATTCGTGAACGAGGTAGAAGGGGTTGTCAACAGTAACCCGTTTTGGCTAATTCATCAGGCTGTATGCAGCAAGTAAGGTGACTCAACTGAAGCTGACACGCGACGACCGAGGTGGTATGTATATTTTATCTATGGTGGGATACTACAGCACAATTCATCAACCTTGTTTCTTGATAAATACATGCATTCCTCTCATGTTTTACGCTAGTTAGCTACATAACAATGAGTTATCAGGAAGGTCAGATTCTTGAACACAACCCTAGAACGCCCGGAACCAACTGAGACCTTAAACACCCGCCAAAATCTCAATAGAAAAGCCAACAAGCATTCAGGCTGGTCAACCATTCAATCAGTTAAGCAAACGTCAGTGACTGTTTATGCGCGCCATAGAAGCACAACCGAATGCGATCAACGTTCAGGCATTTCATAGAGGCACGACAGACGTTGATTAGTGTTTACCAAACGCCTATCAGACAGCCTGGATCAATGTCAGAAAGCCCCCCTTAAAAAGCGCACGGTCGTCGTAACTTTTTCACTCGCACTCACCCGCTTGTTTGGAAATAATCGGTTGTGCAGCCTTGTCAGTGAGTCCTTTCTGGAACCGAGCACGGAAGTGGAAAGAGCAGTTAGGTATAACATAATATGAATAACCAAATTTTAGAAATCTGTTTTATTCAGTTTAGGTTATAGCTAGTTCATGACTTTTAAGGACATGGCATAAAGGCGTTTAATTTGATTATTAAGTTGGCGCAGGATTCTGCTTTTTCCTAATCCACCATCTACACTATTTACACTTAATCAGGGGAAATTCACATCTCGTCAGTCGCTCAAGCTGTCGAGCGCAAAAGGTGTTTGTTCGAAAATCTTCAACAAACAGATAATTGGGTATTTTTTTGACGACAAGCATATATCAGTAGGTGTAACGCCATAGGTATTTAAATAAAATAAGCTCAAAACACGGAAGAACACGTGTGCGCCTTATTGTTTAGATGCAGCGGTCTTGGGTCTGAAATAACGAACGGAACATGCGCTGTTTCTACACACAAATATATCAGATTGGGATTATTAAGCGCGGGCGTAAAAAATGCATATTTGAAAAACATGTAGTATTTCACCTTTTTGTAAGGGTGCCTTGAGGTTTGCATATTGAAAAATACCACATAAGCGATAAGTGAGCATGCGCTTTGCGGTTTTATAGCTCCAGTAACCTCAAACTCCGGCCTCTTGTCCTCTTTAACCTGTTGCATGGCCTATAAGTTGTTTCAACCGCTATTATGTACAACGCAGACAAACAGTTTTCTGCCAGTATTTGCCTGAAAGTGGAACAGGTACAACCAGAGAGTCCAAACTATTATTGAACACACGTATTCAGTGGTAAGTTAGCTGGGTTACATAGACCGGTCGACACCCAACTGCGCTCTGTGGACGGGAGAAGCTCGGTGGGAAACCAAAACGCACAGTAACGAAACCAGTGAATGCCCATGCTAAACAGCATGGATTCCACCAAACTCTAACACGGTTAGGGTTTTTCTTCTCTCACGGCTCGAGTGACGGAGCTGAACATTGTAAGAATACATCAAGAGCCATAGAATGATACCAAGAGAAGAGCAAGCTACCACAGTGAATCGGTTAGAGATCATGAAGCGACCTACTTACTCAAGCATCAGATGCAGTTATATAGTTTTTCTTCAATATTTTGTGGTCACAAAGATTACTTGTAAATTTTGAGGATAGATGTGCTTCAATTAAGAGTTGAAATGCAACCTGGCGGGGTTTAGAAAAAGAACTGTCTAAAACAGACCACCTGACCAGCCGAAAGAACTTTAACCTGAAATTAAGAACAACTATGGGCAGTATTCCGAGTAGAATGGTTTATGCACTGACTTTACGGGACAAGGAGGTGTGTCACTCCGCAAAACTGTGGTCTCCTAAGTTCCTTGCTCGCAGTTATTGGATTTTACTAGTAAACTAATGCGTAAACAGCCAGACTTAGGTAATGCGGCATTGTTTGTAAACTTTAAAACAGAATCGCAAATGCATATACTAATAATGGGAACAAACGCAAGGGTCACTTATTCCGTCGGGAGTCCATCCATCCAAATGTCTGACTTGAATTCTGTTTCTCCAGCTAGTACTACCTGTTCCCAGCTAATGCCCCAAGTTTATGCATCTGACTGCTTGTGTCTCCCGTTTTCGGGTAAGTACATCTGTGGATATTACTGAAATATTCATTTGTATTCAAATTGTGGCTGGTGTGTACCGGGTCAGTCAACTGGACACCACTGTTACGCCATCAGTTGTGTGACCAACGATATGGGCAGTATACCACCTGACGAGGAACTAGCCCATAATTGTTTGAAATCGCTTCAAAACGAGAAATAACTTGGTCAAACTGCACTTTCTACAGTGTCCAAACCTAAACTAAAAAGCCAGTCTAGTCTTGCCTTTAGAGAACTCAGACTTCCAATAACTACAGTTGGGCATGTGATGTTCATCTGCCTTCAGGTAACATGAGTTGTTGTACCTCGGCCACCAGCTTGCATACGTAAGGTCGAAAGTAGGCGAAGCGTTCATCGAGCTGGAGCTAACGATTTCAACGTACCGGCTGATTCAGTAATGGCTATGTCATATCGAGCCAAACGAAATCACCAGTCCGAAGCTGGGCGCACTTATGCTGAAAAAGTGGTATCATGTCCAGCTGGTGGCTTTTTGGATTTGACTTGATTATCTTCTTTGACATCCCGGACTCTTCAATTGTATTCGCGACCGGAAGGAGGTACAATCTATTGCCACCCCTGCATTTGATTATCTTCTTTGGCATCCCGGACTCTTAAATTGCATTCGTGACCGAAAAATAACTACGACCTATTGCCACTCCTGCACAGGCTTTTTACTCTGCAGGAATGTGGCGTGCCGTTCAAATGTAAATTAACCTCGGATAATTGTTTGGGGGTTCAGCCGACTCACTAAAATGTAAAAAGCTGATAATAAACACGATCTCTATGATCATTGGAGAAACCAAGTTAGATATGTGCTGGAAGGTATGTACTGGAAACTAAGAATGGCCTCATATTTGCCTTCAGTACAGTCTTGTCTACCAATACCAACGGGTGTTTAGGAATGATTTCCTTGTTTAAGCACTTTTTATTGGAGTTTTAAGTGGAGTTGAGTAGCATTCAAGACAAAATTCCTTAGTGTACACTTATTAGTTTAATTCAAGGACATTCCTTTCCTTCGGAATGACTGGCAGAGACAGCAAAAAACAGTGAATGGACTGTTGACGTCTTGCGACTGGCAGCGAAACGAATGCAAGCAAACCGCCATGTCGACGAACGGATCAGTAGCTGTCTGATCTACAGACAACATGATGTTGTTTTTGTCTTTTTGATTGAGCTAAGTGATCTGTATTTCAACCCAAAGGCGCGAGCATTCCATTTCTTGAGATAACATCATAAGAGAATCCGGATCACCATAGCCAAATTACCAATACACGACTTACCTCTCGTGCAACAATTCCTTGATAGGTTCTGACATTGCTTGGAACAGAAAAGTTCATCATTTTCAGTCCATACTCCGTGATTTAGCTGACGGTTCCTGTAGCATGAGAAAGCAATCAGAGCACACATCCTATGCTAATAATATCATTCATCAAGCTACCTGGTCAGTGACGGAAATGTGCACTGCATTTGGACAACTAGACTAGACCCGAAATTCAAACATCCTGGTTCTCCACGGTTCACAGTTCACATCGTATGGACCTAATACACTACTCATAAGGTCGCTGAAAACCCCTTGACATCATAAACGTGAAATTCGGCTGGGTGCCAGGTGAGTCTCTGGTCAAAACCAGATTAATATGCAAATGAGTGTAGTTGTAAAAAACAAGTTACACTACTGTGAACTATTCGCTTTTTGAGATTCCTGCACTTACTGGAAGGAGAAAACTGCACACCGCACGAGTTTATATATTTTTTCATTAACTTCACTGTGGGGATTGCGAGACTGAAACAAGCTAGAGGCTTCTAGAGCGTATAATTCTGTATTGGTGGGTTGAGGAAGCTGACGTAAATCAGGTGAGGTGGAAACGTGGCAGTAGCCTATCTACATCATTTGACAGTGCACTTACAGTTCGTGATACTAACGGTTTGACCTATTCTGCGTACATTTTAACCCTGACTTATTCAGATTGCTCACTGTTTGGTGGAAGAACCAATATAATTATCAATATTTTGCTCCCCGAATTACAACCTTGCTCCAAAATGAGTTGAGCATTCCTTGAGGAAGCATTAACTGCCTAAAGAACATCCACTCCAACAGTCACTCTTTTTTTAATTCACCATTTAGAGCATATCTGTGTTAACTTGTCACTCAGGCTAAAGACCGGAATTTCAAATTCCACTTCAGTTGTGCTCGGAGTCATCGTACAACCATTCGGAAGAATGCTTCTGTTCAACCCAGACGTTCACTTACCAGCTGGACGAGCAGTTGTCGTGAGCATTTATCACATGTCACCGAAACAATAGGTGAGTTACGTGGAGGAAACATTGGTCAGTGAAAGAGTTCATCGCATTTTCTTTAACGTTACAACCAGTACTCGGGGCGGTGCTCGTGGCGTCACCATCACTACAAATAGAACCATCAATAAAAGAAACTGAAACGCTGTGCAGCCATGTCATCTTGTATGATGACAATAATCAACAGTCACTATTAATTTGCCAGGTTTGAGACCTTTTCACAAGCTCCAAAGTCAACATCCATAGGAATCCAGTTCACGACTCTTATTGGTCGTATAATATGTAGTTTACTAGGTACAATTCAATCAATTCAATTTACTAGCTATTAACTCTGTACTGTGTTCACATTCATTTCAACTGCTACAGTTTCGATCACCGGGAGAGTGTGGGAGATATAGTCAAGCCCTGGTTAGTTCGAGAACTCGGTAGCTGCGTGCTGAAGGCGATAGATTTGACTCACACGCGCCATTGAATGCGCGTTCGAGCCATTTCTGCCAGTTTCATTAACTATCGGTGAGTTGTGTCCAAGGGTCCCCATCCAGGGACCGGCCTGACTAACCTCACCGGTTAGTGTTCTGGTATTTCGTTGCCAGGTCATACACTCGTCCACCTCATGGTCGCTTTCAGTCAGCACAGGGTTGGGCGGAAAGAGATCTGTGGCATGCGGCGTACATGTTCTAACCAGCGTAACCTATGAAGCGTGAGTAATTCACCAAATCACGATAAGTTGCTTATTCCTAAGAACATCTGGCGTACTTCAGCATTGGTCATCTACTGTTTCCACCAGACATGACCAAAGCTTCTGATACACCCGAATGCCCTCTACGCGTAGGGTCTACGTTTCCGATCCATAA